AATTATACTGAATGAGTATCGGGGTGGACTATGGCGTCGTGATTCTTTAGTGGAATTCGATGATGAATTCGATCCCTTCCATGAGGCTTGTTTGATGTGTTCCAATGTTTATAGGTGCATTTGAGACTTGCTGGACAGCTAATTGCTATCAATTCGTTCGTCTAGTTTATGAAACCATTTGACATTCAGGCCTATATCTCCAGAAATCCAATTTCACTAAAGCGCCGAGCAATCGTAAGACTATTTCTGAACAAAGTAATCATAGTAGCCTTGCAGGGACTTCTCCCTAATCTGACCGTTAAAATGCCACGTAAAAACTGATAATCGTTTTCAGAGTTTAGCATCTTGGCAGTGCTGACATTGACAGTGTACAGTTTTATATTCAGTGGTCATGAGTGAGCTTGCTTAGACGCCATCTGTTCAGCCATTAACTGTAAGCAGGAGATTTATATTGGTTCCGACCTCAAAATTGAAGCCATCCTTAAACTACTTGGCCATAAAGTAGACAAACGGAATAACAAGAATTGCGTACCTCTTCTTGAAATTACGAATTTACTCGAAATGCGTTAGTCTGTATAGACTTCGAACATTCAGTGGAAATTTGTGCTCTCTCCCTATTAGGAAGTATACAAGAAAAATTCCTTTGATTAGGGCTTGTCTGATAACAGCGCCATGTTATGGTGATATTGACCAAATCATAAACAGGTAGAAAATTATGTTGAGTCGCTATTATTAACACTGAACTGAACAGAATGCACGGCAATTGATGAGTAAGGGACAATAAAGCGAAGACAAAAATAGGCACAAGTATAATATATAAATGACAATTTAAACTGCTATAAAATGAATAACGATTTCATTTCACGGATTCTGATTTGAAAAAAATCAGATTCTGTTTATTTAATAAACACATATAAGAGTATCAAAGAAGAAGTGGGTCACAACAATTAAATTCACTCGGTTTGTAAGTTATTCTAAATAAATAATGTAGCAGAAAATTCGAGAATGAGGGTAGAATTGGAAAATAAATAATAGATTGCTTGGAAAGTACAAATAAATGGATATTCACTAGAGAATAAAGTTCAGTGTATCAAAAACGAGTCATTGGGCTTAATCGAATTTAGCTAAATAATGAATCATCTGCTAATATAAAAAATATTCTGAGTAATAAAAAAATGTTCGAATAAATTATTAAGTAAATCGAGAAAGATAAAAAGTTATGGAATGACTCGATAGCAAGTTAATGTGATTAAAGCCATGATAATATAAGGCATTAGTGTGGAGGAATTGTTACCACATCTATAATAAGACAAACAGGTCGGTATTATGCTTCGGAATGCATGTATCTGAGATGACGGCTAAGCACTAAAGCATTATCCGAGTGCTATACTTGTATGCAGAAATCTTTGTATACTGATAAGTACCGGTTAGGTGTTGATATAGTGGCTGACTAGCAATAGGCTCTATAGAATATATGTGTGAAAGAGCACATGTCTAACCTTGGTACAAATCTTAGAACTTTAAGATATGATATGATGTCATCTCGAGGAAGTCCTATTTTTTGAGATGTGAGGCCGAAAAAATATAGCAAAAAAGAGATGGCGCAAGGAGTAACTCGAAGCTAGCTAGTAGATCCTGCCATTAAATGCTATGTCGAGGGATAAAGAAAGATGTCTGATTTGTTTCGAAGAAATTTCCCGGTTTTCAATCAAGGAATGGCATCAAGAGAGAAGCAGATCCTGGATAAGAAATAGTTAATTAACAGAATTAATGCACAAACGCGGGTTGTAAGTAGAGACTGAAAGTAACATTCCTAGAAAATTGGTGTTTAATAGAAGGAGTCTGGGAAAAGCCCATAACTAAGTGTGTCACTGCTAACCAATGTTGCTGTTAGTAATTTTCCTAAAGATTTGCTGACAGATCTGACTGAAGTATCTTAGCCCTAGCATATAGAGCCAATTCACAAGGCTTAAAGACACTGGCTAAAAGTAGCAACAAGGAATGAGGCAAGTCGATTGATAACTTAGGCTGAATAACTATAACTCAAACAAATGAGTGAATTCAATAAAGAATTTTCGGACAAAGTATAGCATTTTAAGCCGAATTGCCGGCAGATGTCCAGGTGTATCCTGTCGTGATGGAAGGTATCAGTGCGTGACTAGGTAATCAAATGCCTCAATGCAAGATGAGCTGGTGATCTGGTAACTGACGTTCTGTCCGACACCAGTATTGAGTTATCAAATGTATAAAAAGCAAGCACTTGCGTTTTGGCCATCCTGATTTTACCTTACGCTTGCCTAGGTCCTTAAGCAATTTATCATTCAGCTTCATTTATTTCGCTACTTTGTCTTGCTAAATAAGGTATTTTTCATCAGGGTAAGTTCAAAAAGAAAGAAATCGGATTTATGACAAGGATGTGGATTAGTGTAACCCAAGGTCAGTTGAATCGGGCTTTTCTCTTGACCGTAAAGTGCTAAGATAGATAAGTCAAAAAAATTCGGACATCTTCAGAGTTAGCTCAGCAAACTAGATATGAAGATTGCATCCTTTGAGATAACTAAAGCGAAGTGAAGCTGGGAAAAATTACAGAGGCAAAAATAAAGCAAAGGCCTGAAGGCATGTTTCAAGGAGATAGGTTGAAATCAGCTAAAGGTATCTAGGCTCAATAAGAACAAAAAGCGAATATATTTTTAGTCTCCAAGCTCTCTCTACTGACGAGGATTATAAAATTGGTCTAAAATGGGTGAAATAAACTGGCAAAAGTAATGATTAAACAAGGTAAACTTAAAATATGGGGTATTAAGACCAGGATGATGTTGTATTTTGTAATGATCGCAGTCTCCTTTCGTTCTATAGAAGTTGTTTGACCTTGTTTTCCCAATTCGGTCATATTTGTAGAAAGATTTTACGAAAAAAAGGCTGTCCGGCCGGAACTATTTTACTAGGACAGAAAGTGAAGTTAAAAAGACTGACGGGCACGGTTTATCCAAATAAAAAATCAATAGGAAAATAAACAGATTACAAGATTTTAGATCGGTAGCAGAGTAAATGCAGTATATTTAGCTTTGAAGAAAGTGACTAGAGTTTACTTAAACAAGCCTCAAGGGGGAGGCTCTGCCAGAAGAACAAAATATCGCTGTCAGGCGAGCAAATCCACATTGATTAAGCATTTGTCTTATGAGGCCTATGTTATTATTGCTCTTGCTTGTCCGATAGGCTATTTGCTGGTTTCGTAAAAAAAAAGAAAGCCAGATTGTCATGGCAAAGCTAAAAAGGAGCATCAAGAGGCCACGCGGAGTCACTAATACCAAACAGGAAATTTTCCAATCACCAGTCAGAGAAACAGAATGGCCACAAATGCAATGCAGACTAAGTACGAGGAACGCAAGGCTAACGTAAAAAGCGAAACCTATCCAGGAAACGAAGAGGAAAAGGATAAAAGTAGCTTGGTTTGACCGAGTTACGCAACGCATAAGGAAGATACAATGGTGGTCAAAGTCAAAACAACAGGTATCACAGAGCCGACAGTGCTTAACGTTATGATCAGATGGTCGTATCAGGTGACATTCGGGACAGTACAAACGTGCTATATCCCCGATCTCCTTATCCAGGTATTCAAGTAAATCGATATTTATGGCTCCATCATCACTGTGGATGAACTTCTGATAGATGCATGTGGCCAATCCCTCAACCCGACTTATAACATGGGATGCTTCTGCTGCTGCCAGGCTTGCGAATTTCTCTGAGGTGTAAGCTGAATCAACTTTAAGATCAGGCTGTGGAAGCAAGGCAAGTTTGATGAACAGAAGGCACCAGAATGAAGTGATGAGGCTGACAAGCCAGACTCCGAATGGAGTTAACCTAGCCGCGATAGAATATTTTGATAGAGCAGGTAGCAGATCATTCCAATAGGAAGTTAGTAACGCAAGGAAGCCAGCCACTAAGTAACCGATGTAGACAGGATTAGCTCTTCGCGTGCCATCAGCCATCCTGTGACGTTGCAGACATATCAAGCTGGCCAGACCGAAAAGTCCAGTCAGACAAGCGGATGAAGTCGTCCAATCGGTCAAAGGGGAGTTTATAGTAGAATAGGTCAAAAAAGTGAATAACAAAGGTGCCAAAGCGTGAATCCACCAAACTGCAGAATATATTCTATTAAAAAAAGACAAACGAAGCAACAAATTCGAAGAAAATAAAGAGCAAAGAATACGGAATACTGGAAGACCAATGGGCAATTGAGTTTGGCAGACTGCAAACTTAAGGAGGTAGATAAGGCGTTTGGGTGCTGGCAGATTTCGCGCCAAATCAATTGCAGTCTGACCACCTGAATTTCGATGATGCAGTAGATGGGACAGTGGCAGATATGGGTATCCGCTGTCGTGATGTGGTAGACGCCAAGTAAGCAGAGGCCAGAGGATCATCTCAGCTCTATCACATTGGACAGATATGGCTGAGGCCGTACTGTGAACACAATAATGAATTTGGGAAATAAGAGTATAAATTCTTAAGCTGACATACAAAAAGCAGGACGATGGGGACCTAGTTCTCTTGCAATCTGGCATAAGCATGTTCAAAAGAGGTCGTTCTTATAAGATCATGAAGAATCTTGCCTCAAATGAAGTAAATTGTTAGTTTAAACCGATTTTATGATCAAACTATTTTATATGATACAATGGAATAACCATAATCTAATCTGTCAATACTAGATTCGAGAAAAATAATTAGCTTTTTAAATGAGAGAAAATAGAAAAAGGCATATAAGTAGATCAGCCGCACAAACAATAAATTCTTAAAGCCAAGACTTGATAACCAATAAAAACAATGATTTTAAGAATATTTTCATTCGTATAGGTAAATAAAAATTCAATTTCGAAATAAAAGTTGGGAGCTGGCTTCATCGGGACCGGAAAAAAAGTGTTGTAATTGACTAGACATAATATAATTAAGAACTTGCTTAGCCGTGATTTCGTAACTAGGTTGTATGACCAGGAAAACAGAGGAACGCACTTTGTCTGGAGTCAATAGTATGCATGATTATTTCCAGAGGGGTCGTTAAATTGGTGCATTCCCAGAAGTTTCGCCCGCATCTTCACTGAGCCTTGCCAATATTAGGTCTAGATTATAACCAATCAGAGGCAAATGTAGTCGATCTTTTAGCCAATTATATGCTAAACAGTTGTGACATCTCTCCTGTCCTGGTGTATTCATCTGTCCTATATCCCCGTAACACCTCGCCATTATCAGAATTTTTACCTCCTTCTCTAAACAGTTCAGGTATGCCCTTTTGAGCTGGTTTAATGAGACCTATCAAAATTCCCATCTGGTTCACCCATCCCCCTACGGTGTCTTGAATTCTTTCATACCAGGTAATATCAGAATCACAATATGCAGCCAGTCTTTCTGCCGATTTCATGTCCCGTCCATGCAATGTGTTCCTCTATTTCTGATCTTTCCGTATTCATGTTTCTGAAGAGTCATTTGTGTTTCATGATTTATAGGCTGATTCTTCTTCCTGCTTCATTAACATACTTCTGCTCACAGTTGCTGCATTTTAGCGACTAAACTCCCGAGTAATCCAATTTATCAACATTCACTTTGGAAAGCTGGTGAAGTGTTGTATTTTTCTTTATCACAGTGATACTATATTTTATCAGAAATGATCACAATTTTTGACTTAGTTCACAGGTAAGGCATATTGACTTTTGGTCGCCAACCCGATTCCTGATTTTATTTTCATGATAAATAATATAATGGAATATTAAGGTGATAACAAAGAAAAACAAAACGTTTCACCAGCCTACCGGCTAGTAGGTTGACAGACTGGATTGATGGGGAGTTTATTCGATAAAATGTGGCAATGGTGGGCAGAAATATGTTGAAACAAAAGGAAAAATCAGCCTATAAATCAATGAACACCAAATTCTCTGCAGAAAGATCTGAAATAGCGGAACACATTGCGTGGACGGGTCATGAAATGGGCAAAGGATGGCAGCATATGGTGAAAATATAAGTAAGCGTACGATCCGAAATACCATCGACATGCTGACTGAAATGAACCTGATGTAAAGGGGACTTTAAGAAGGCGGGATGAGCGAAAACATATCGCCGAAGCAAACTCAGGGATCAAGGAACTACAGAATCAGCAAAAAAACGACTACATTAAAGAAATATTTTCAATTTGAGGAAAAGAAATCGCAGAGGCCACAGAATAACAGCTGGAAACGAATGAGAGATGCGTACAGTGGGCCTAATTAAAACAGGTGGAGCAAATATCACATTTGGGATTTCGATAACAAGAGACTAGGGAATAAGAAAGTCATAAACTTAGCATTAAGAATATAAAAGCGAGAGATGCAGCGAAGACCATAGATAGTTGGATATTAGTAGATGAGTTTTATCATAGACGTGGTCTGTGAAGTAAAGGCTTAACCAAGAGGTTTACCCGATACACACGTCGACCAGTGATAAGCGAATCTGCTGCGTCAGATAAGTGCCCATGTAACCTGAGAATCCACACTTTGGGGGCTTGCTCAATAAGGCTGGAGGATACGTCAAAGGCTCCAGACAGTGTAGAGTATAACGCCTCGAGTAGCACAGAGTAGCAGTGATCGAATGAAATCAGAACCTGAGGGATGTGACGGATCCCACAAGGCAAGGAGACTCTAATAGGATCTGGAGGAAAAGGATTGCGGACTAGAATTTTAAACTTTGATCAACACTTCCAGCATAGTAGGGGAATGAAGGAACCAGAAGGAAATGCGAATAAGTCTCACTAAATCAGCCCAAAGGGC